TTTTGGAAACATAACCACATCAATGACCTACAAACATTTAGCCTAGGAAGCACATACGTGAAATAAAACATTGCAGAATCAGACTGTGGAGTTGCCTGCCAAAGGAATATAAAGATTGTCGGCAGAAAAACATTGGGATCTTTAACAGCTTCCCACAACTGAATAATGTTATTCTTTGAGCTCTTAAAGAAGCTATCGTCTAGAGAAATATTCTGACCCTTCAATGGGCCACGTACAGGATGCTCATTTACTAGGACAGATACTGCAGAAGTTATCAACGGTAACAAAGCTGTCAAGCCGAAAACAAACCTGCAAGTATTGTAATTTAGAGAATTTCATAATGGGAATATATAGTCAGATGGCTTCACTCAACAAACAGGGCATAGCATACCGCACACCATAGGCATCCACCAGGGAACCACTAAAGTAGGCACTGACAATTCCACCAAAGGCCGAAGAACCCCAACATAATGACTGGAGAGATCCAGACATACTCTGTGACTCGCCTCGTGCCCTCTCAACAACCATTGAATCTACGACCTACACCAAGACTCAAATTGATATCACAGCTGAAAATAGAAAAAAGAATACAACATAAAAAAACGATATATGCATGTCAATTCAATCACGCCAGCGAGATGGCCTCAATGAATTTGAGTACATTCGCTTTGTCTATAACTTTCTGCATCAACAGTATGATCTACCTTACAACAAAGTTGTTGCAAATACTCTATTAGGCACATGCCTACTCTCAGAGTATCTCATATTGGTTTCTACTGGGTTTGAGTTTAGTACTAAGTTTTTTAATCAGCACGTAATTCGGTATTCTATCCTAGAACCATGTCAACTGGTTTATCTACTCGATTCGTATAAAAAACTGAGTTAACCACCTCATTGATTTTCATGACCGTTGAGTGTGTTTACTAGCACAAATTTAAGGAAGATAATAAGATTTAGGCTATTATGGCCTTATGGGATTACAAATATCTTAAGGATTTCAATTTAGTAAAACACTTTTTAAAGGTTTTGAGAATTTCTTAAACTACATATTCTAACCCAAAAATAAAAACATTAGAAAAGCTAGATTTAAATGTGAGAAGCTTCAAAGAAGAGACATTGTGTACTGCAAGTCTGCAATGAAAGTTAAATTACCTCATCTACATCCAAGATGATTACTTTAGTATGTAAGAAGCTCATATTGATTAGATGACAGGCACTTCTTTAGATGATTTATGAATAATGTGAGTTATTGATGATTACTCTTTTTATCTATGCATACATATACATATACGACTTAGTAGACTAGTATAATTCGAAATATGTGATATAAACATAAATACATACTTCTTCTGTTCTTTTTTAAATGCAACGATCCACTTTTCACGTTTGCCAACACACAAGTTTGACCATTAATATCTTTCATACCTTATTAGTAAAAAATTAAAAAAATAGATTTTGAAACTTTAAAATGAGAGGAATTTAACAATATTTTTTAAAATTTAATTTATAATACATTAATAAATAAAATAGAGTCAATGTAGAACATGTGAATAGTGGAAAAAGTTCAATGTTGCATTTAAAAAAGAACGAAGGGAGTATATGTGTGTGTGTATTTATATACACAGTAATAAAAGGCTACATGAGCACTGTGTACTGCCGAGTAATTGTTCCAAATTGCTACTAGTACTTACCTTGTGATTAAGTAGAAGAACGATTTAACTCAAACTAACATGGTAATTGATCCTAATTTAATAGTGGTTTGCGAAGTGTCCACCTAATCCGTGGTTGGTTTAGGGCATCCCTTTTGGAAGTGAGGGCCCATTTGCCCACCCCTAGCTTTTTTAAATAAACTTGGTGTGAGGGAGTATGTTGAGCATCCGACATTGGCCTTTGAAGATCTATTTGGGGTGAGATAGGCCTAACTCGATGCACACCATCCAAACATGACAATTTTGCAGCCATGAGAATGATGGCCAAGTAATATCCTAATGGGTGAATAAAAAATTTCTGTTCACCTAAAAATACTATGGGTAACATGCTAGGTATAGGTAGTTGTGGTGGCATCAAGATTGAATTCATATGGGGGCATTAGTGAGTAGGTGACAAAAGGAACTTACAACGTCAGAGAAAGCAACTGAAAGAGATCCAAGAAGAATGCAAAAAGCAGCACTATACTTGCTGTCAACAAAGGTTGACATCAAACTCCAAGAGAGCGCTCCAAGAAGCCCTGATAGAACCAGATATGATCTTCTCCGGTATCCAAAAAGAGGGAAATAATCGCTACAAGGAAAAAATGTTTACTTGAGAACTTACTAAGTTTTAAATCAATTTTTAAGGAAAGAAGCATCAAGTTTAACTATCACCTGATAAATCCATACAATGGTTTTACAAGCCACGGTAATGATGCAAATCCTGATATAAGTGCTGTCTAGTCAGAAATATAAGATTTTGTCAGTCCTTTTATTAAGATGAGATATTCATCTATTGACTAGATTAACAAAGTTTATAACTTTATTTCTCATTTTGACTAGACGCAGAATTTTAGGAAGCCCATTCAAGTATTCAACACATTGTTACACATTACTACTAATGCTACATAGCACCCCTGTTACACTTTATACTTGCAATCTTGTTTGATTCTAAATTCTGAAAGCATTTAAGAAATTGTAATAGTTTCCATCAGAATTTGTTAATGGCTGACTTTGCAGGGGGTTTACCATCAATAAGTTTCCAGTTTTAATAAATAGTCCAATTCTTTTCACCATATACCTCCATGTTACTTAACACTCAGACCTGGAGCATTTCACATTTGTTTTGGTTAGAAAATGAAAAAATGACATGTATATTACTAATAGAGTTTCACCGGATAAAAATATGATTGGTTATGACTAGACACTAGTCACTGCGTATGTGTATGAGTAACTGGACAAGAGTAATATTCATGGAAAAAGGCATTAGAAAATATAACCTAGGTAATGTGTTTTATGGTATGTTAGATAACCTTGTTAGAATTCATTTTCAGATAGTTTATAAAGAATCTAACTCTGCATAATTGGTTAAGATATTTAGTGTAACAATATTGTAAACTTAGTCACAAATTCAGCTTAAATATTTTACTCATAAACACAAATCTTTAAAAAAATCATGATGATAATTGATAATGGTGTTTGTGAATATCCAGAATTACAGACATCATACCTCTGCAGGGTCTAGATGCAGGTCATCTTTCAAGTAAAAGCTGACAGCAAGTCTGGAAAGTCCTAAGACACCCTGAACAAAATATACCATAGCCACTGCAATGTTATCAGGTGTAAGGTCAACTCCGAAGCAGCGAATGGAGCTCGTAGAGTACTTGTTTTTGTGGCCTTTACTTGATGCACTTGTAGCTTGCTCTAAATCTGTTGTCGGCCTATCCCCCTCCCCTACACCTTTATCACAGGGAAAAGCATACTTTCAGTCAAAAATACAATCAGATCATTCGATTAGCTACGATCTGAAAATGACAAGACCAAAAACGCATGCTCAACATTTTAATGAATACTAGCTAGTTTTTCTCTCTCTGTGTGAAAGCCAAAATCTTTTGGGACTAAGGCTTGGGATGTTGTTATTGTTGTGAGTGACAGCCTGCTGCTGGAGCTGTAACCGTTCAGACGCAAACAAAAAACAAAACAAAAAAACATATCCAAGGCATAGGTCCATATCTATCCTTCACAATTATAAACATCTTTAAGATTTATATATGAAAAAATATTCCGAAGAAATCATTGAACAAAACATGGGGAGAAACTACTTAACGTTTAAGAAAATTCTACATATTTTTACATTCAAATTATAAGTCTTTCATAACCAATTTACTTCACAAGGAAATTGATTCGGAAACATCCATTTATTCTAAAGTAAACTAAGCTAAGCTCAAGTTATTGATTCATAAGTTGTACTTTTCATATCGATTGATTGTTCGTTGAGCTAGCAAACTTCTGTTTCAGCTTTACTATCTAGTGACAGATCAGGATGGGAATTAATGCTATCCACATATAAATAATCGGATAAATACTATCTTACAATTCTTTAAATTTAGATGCACTGAACATACTTACCATTTCGAGAACCTAGCAACGGTTCAGAATCGATCTCTCGCCGGACAGAAGTCACAGAACCCGCAATAGGAACCGAAACAGACATGTCGAAAAATGGTGGCTTCCGGCGAGTGGGACCGCGAGAGCCGGCGATAATGGCAGGCCACTTCCAACGAGTCTGGGTTATAGATGGAGGATCGTAAAGCACTGATAAAGTTGTAAAGCCAGAAGGTAAGATTGGGCATGAAATGGACATTAATTTCGCCATTTATTTTATGTATTATTCTATTTCTGTGATCTGTTAACTTCGTACCGTGTTTAGTACGGAGTATGTTTCATTATTACAAAAAAAGAGTGTTAACAGAAAGGAGGAACCCGCATGTCCATCTCATTTGGCTAGAAATGCTCAATTTCCGAACATATATACCTTCCAATTTTGAAAGAACTGATAACTCAATATTGGTTTAGTTCTAAAAATTATTTGAAAAACTAATCGATAATATCATATTTGTGTCATTCTTGTATGTTATCAATTAAGCGTTAGAAAATATTAATATATTTAACCATTACTGTGTTTCATCATTAAACCATAACACATAAAAATATAATATCAAACTAATAAATATATCATCATAAATAAGTAAGGAAATTTTAAAAGCTAGAAAAAAAACAATTATTAAGAAAAACTAGAAAAACTCTATTTCACTTATGCTCATACACATGTAGCAATGTGTGTATATGATAGTTGTGTAATGATTATTGTTCTTGCTCCTTGATTTGAGTTTCCTCATTAATAAAAATAATTTTCGATGCTTAGACCTGATTTATTCCTGCAAAACTCCGCATTATCAGATAAATTATATGTGTTTCATTTATTTCTTAACTATTTCTTATCATATTATATAATCAAGTAGTTGACCTCTTATGATATTTAGACTTTTGAATGTTACTAAGCACGGTTCTTGTTAAAACTTGTGATTTTCATAGTCTTGATAAATATCATTTCATAAAAATCATCAAGATAATTCATTTATAAAAAGTGAATGGATTCAAAAGTCCGTGAACATTTTTAAAAGTAAATGGAGTAAAAAAAATCACCACAATCCATATACCAAGCATGATGAAAAAATTGAAACACAATCAAAGATTTCCTAAATCCAAACTCTTTTAAATTAACTTTAACCATACTAAATAGATAGAACTATAGGGGTTTTTACTTGAATATTATCAAATTAAAGCCAATTTCCAAAAATGTGATCATTTTAAAAAATGTGATCAAGAAAGGTCACATATTTGAAAAAATTTGATGTCACTACCATTTTTATGTCACTATCGTTTGTTATGTCACTGCGATTTTATGTCACTGTTATTTTATATCACTATTACATGTCGCTACCAGCTTTTTTGTCACTTTTGAATGTTACTTTAGCTGTAAAACATGTCACTATCACCGTAAAAAAAATCCACCAACTTTTTCCGGCGAAACTGTACACCATCAGCCACCACCATCATTGACTCGTTGCCGCCGCTCTATACTTCTATAGTGATCACCCGTCCCGACACCTTGCCCTTGAAACTCTCCGGGAGCCACCACCACCCAAAACCGTCGAAAAACATCGGCCACCGCCGGCAATGACTAGCCGCCACCATCTAATGACCAACGGCATCTCACCGGCGGCCAGGGGCTTCATCTCCAGCTTCCCCTAACCCCAAACTCCCCTACCATTGCCAGCCCCTGAGGCCACCGACCACCACCGCCCATACCTAGCCATTTCCCCAGCCCCCTCTACACCCCAAACCTTGCCCCGCCGATATGGATTCTCTGTTGTGCCACCGCCCCATCATAGAACTGAAGTGTTAGACGATGATGAAGCTCTGATAGTCAAACATAATAAGAAGAAACATAAGCAGGGGCACGCCGACGGCAACTACGGTGTACTAGACGATGGCAACCGTGGCATACAAGGACGACAATCTGGGTGCAGTGACATGGAATCGACAACCTGGAAGCAACGATGTAGTATCGGAGCCACGATATGGTGGTGCAACCTGTCACCTCCGTTGCATCTTTGTCCTTTAATTTGTTGTTGGAGGCTGAATTGGATCTGGGAGATGAAGAGCTTGGGAGATGGAGACGTCCAATTTTGCTAGGTGTACACAAAAAGTGTACACCTTTGGCACTCCATATAAAACCCTCCTAATTTTTTTACCTCACTTCCTTCCCAATTCAAATCTTTACCCTATCTTTCTTTTCCCTTCCATCCATCCAAATCTCTTGCTCCATACTCCCGCACCCATCCCTAGACTTCGAACAAAGCATCAGAAAATTGAAGAAGACCAATATTGTGCACCCCTAGCCTGGACGAGAGTGGACGACCATGGACGAGAGGGGACGAACCGCCTGGCCTTGACATCGGACGAAGACCGCGCACCCCTGGACCTGCTACTGTGGACTGCCGGAACCATCCCCTGGACTACCGGAACCATCTCCTGGATTGCCGGAACTGCGCAGTCGAAGGTCTGTTTGAAGGCGTTGGTACCGTGGACTGCCTGAAACGCATAGAACTCCAAGTGGACGAAGACTGCTCCATTCAAATTAGTTGAAGCTATGGTGCGAAGCAGTTTTGACAAATCTTGCTGAAAGGTAATATTCTCATCCTTGTGTAGTACTCACCTTTCTATAGTATTTATTTTGATTAAACAAGACCTAATTTTGTTGAGGTAAAAAGAGTTTTCTAAGATGTTGTTTGTGTGTTGTGAGTTGTCTGTCATTTGTTTTGAATTGTCCGTAAGGAGTTTATAAATGTCTGTGATGTTATAAATAGATGTCTGTCATTCATATTTCCTTGTCTGTCATTTATGTTTAGTTGTCTGTAATTGTTTGGAGTTGTCTGTATGGACTTTATAAATGTCTGTGATGTTATAAATAGATGTCCGTCATTCATATTTCCTTGTCTGTCATTTATTTTGAGTTGTCTGTAATTGTTTGGAGTTGTCTGTATGGACTTTATAAATGTCTGTGATGTTATAAATAGATGTCTGTCATTCATATTTCCTTGTTTGTCTGTCATTTGTTTTGAATTGTCTGTAAGGAGTTCATAAATGTCTATGATGCTATAAATAGATGTATGTCATTCATATTTTCTTGTATGTCATTTGTTTTGAATTATCTGTAAGGACTTTATAAATGTCTATGATGTTATACACAGATTTCTGTCATTCATATTGACTTGTCTGTCTTATGTGTTGTGCATTTTTAAACATGTGATAGGGCATTGAAATTAAAAAATCCTGTCTGCGACCACTTCCCTACACAATACTCTCTATGCTCTGAATTGAAAGACGTTGCAACGTTGGTGAAGTCAGCTTTGTCTGTTAAGTAGATTGATGAGTTTAGGAAGATGTCGTGGGTCCATTTTCTTGATGTGCAAGACCTTCAGTTTTTTGCTCAAATTGTGCATAGCTTGTTGTTAAGGCTGGTGTGTGAGCAGCCCGAAGACGAACTGTGGTTTTGCATTAACGAGCAATTGCTGAAGTTTACCTATGTCGATTTTGAACACATCACTGGGATCCGTTCTAGGGGTCCAACTCCAGCCTTCTCGGATGATGATGAAGGCAATGGGATGTTGCTAGATGACTACTTTGGTGGTGCCACAGAGATCAGTTTCAGAACGTTGACGAAAAAGATGAGGTCAATTAAGCCGAAAAAGAGAGGCGGGCGCGAACGCACGGTGATGCTTTGAAGCTTGCTTGTGTTTTTTATGTGATGTGTGTTTTACTACCAAGGAACAAGAAAACAAACATCAATTCACACTATCTGAAACTGGCTGATGAATGGGACAAATTTCAAACTTACCCTTGGGCAAAAGAGTCCTACACCTTGATGGTTTCTCATATCAAGACTCTTATAGTTGGGCAAGCCGAGAAGTTCAAGCAGAGTAAGGCCGCCAATCCCGAATACAAAAACGCAAAGTTCACATTGCACGGGCTTCCTCACGTCCTACAGGTAATGTAGGCATTATATTTCATTGTGTGTTTTGTATTGTCATGTTTGCATGAAACGCATAGTTGTCTGTACGCCATACATGTAATATGAAAGACAAACAATATTATTTTATCACACATACAATATTATTCTTCCACATAGATACTTCATCAATTCATACAGACAATTCCTTAGTGTAGACAGACCACTTATTCTGCCACTCATTGTTTTTGTTTACTTGTCTTTTGTGTTTTTCAGGTTTGGGCTTACGAGACTTTGCCTGAGCTAGGACAGAGATGTGTTGAACGTGTTGCTAATCATCAAGTCCCTTTTCTCAACTGGAAGGCCACGGGGTTCTTTCATTTGCATAAGCTAAATGAACTGATTTTCAGGGATCGTGACCATGTAATGTATTTCTGTGTTTTTAAAATATTAAATTGGGTATCATTGTGTAAATTACTATAGATTGTACGTGCAAGAGGAAGAAGAAGTAGCGGTTCAGGACAATGACGGCTTGAAGGCTAAGATGATGAAGGACATGGAAACGTTACGGGCGCAAGTGGTGGCTCTGCAGGAGAGATTGAAAGTAATGGAAGAGAGGATGAATGTCGGGAGTGTGCTGACGTGGATGTTGATGTCCATAACAAGTCCCCCGAAGTTGAGGAGAAGCATTATGAAGATGAAGATGTACGCCAAGAGGGCCATGAAACTGAAGTTGAAGATAACAAGCATGAGGAAGTTCCTATTGTTGATGAGGAGGGCCATGAAGCTGATGTTGAAGGTGAAAAGCATGAAGAAGTAAGTCTTATTGTGTTGCCCACTTTAGAACATCTTTCTTCTTTCCGTTCAGTACTCAATTGTCTGTCTTTTCTATATTTTTGTCGGTCTCATATTTTTTTGTCTGTGTGTCCTGAAACATGAAATGCAGGTGAATAATGAAAAGGCATCTATTATTAATGACTTTGTATGCTCTGATGAGAGTCATGAAGCTGAAGTTGTACTTGATGACCATGAGGAAGTTGCACACGTTGTTGACGAGGGTCATGAATCTAGCGTTGAACCTGTTCACATTCACGACGGAGCTTCTGATGTTGGTCAGCAGGGCCAAACTGGTGAGAAGGCAACATGTATCATCTCAAACATCGTGCATGAAGTAAGTATTATTGTGTTGCCCACTTTAGAACATCTTTCTTCTTTCCGTTCAGCACTGAATTGTCTGTCTTTTCTATATTTTTGTTTGTCTCATATATTATTTGTGTGTCTGTGTGTCCTTAAACATGAAATGCAGGTGGATAATGCAAATACACCCGATATTGATGACTCTGTACCTTCAGATACCGCCAATTGGGATGAGGTGGTGGAGTCGTGGCAAACCACCGCTTAAGGGGAGTTGGAAACCGAGGGTGATGATGTGGGAATGAAAAGGAAACGATTCGCCTCTAAGTTCAAACTTAACCCTTTCATCGACCCTAACCCAAAGCGGTTGAAAGCCATCACCAAAGCCAACGATAACATCAGCCCAATAGACGAGTGGACTGATTTGAAGAATTGGGTTGAAGATGATGAGAGTGTTCCCCAAGCCAGTGTGATGTTACATGTCCATGAAGCCATTAAAGTGAGTAGGACTTTTTTCCATGTCCTACTATCTCCGGATCATTGGTTGTCGAGCACGGTCAGTTCATTGTAGACATTTTCCTTTGTTTTCATGTATTCGACAATGATTTAATTTTGACATTATTTCTATGTTTTTTAGCACCTCCATGCAATAACGCAGTTGCTCAATAAAGACATCGATGCGCATTCCATGACTTTGATCAGCCCCTACGTTGCGGTACCTATATCATTTGTTTCTCGCAACGTCGTGATATGATCTGTTAAATCGCCTTACATTTTATAATTTATAAAATATTTGTAGCATAAAATCCTTAAGAAAGACATTGCCAACGACACACATTGGGGTGGAGATAAATTCCTGAAAAAGCAAGAGTGGACATCTTTTGAAAGGGTATTGTCTGTCTAAGTCTTATAATTGTCTGTCTGGTATTGTTTTACTAATTTTGTGTCTGTGTGCACACAACACCTACACTTTGAGATTAATTGTTAATATTGGCAGGTTTTGATTCCTTTAAATGCTGAGAATAAGCATTGGGTGTTGGCGGAAGTTCTGTTTCGATGTAGATTGGTTAGAGTTTACGACTCTATGAAGACTTCTAGGACTCCATATTATGCCAATGAGTTGTGTGTGCGGCTGCCTTACCTAGTTCGTGCAATGGGATTGTGTCCGGATGACTGATTTGCAACCATGGAAAGCTGAAGCAGTGGATGTTGTGCCTCAACAAAATGCAGGGTATTAAACTCAATAATTATGTGCATTACATGTATTGTCTGTCTAAGTTGTATAATTATATGTCCGGTTTTTTTTGTCTGTCTACAGATCAGGTGAATGTGGGGTTGATAGAGTATATAGACTCGGACCCCCGGGTCTCACGACTATTGGGCCCGGACAGCGGCCCACACACATCTTACGGATATCATTTGTATTATTGTACTGCTTATATGTCATTTGTATACTAGATTAGTCTTTTATGTAGTTGGGCTACCGGGCCCATATTGGCGGCCCGGCCCGTTATTCCTCTATTTATACTCCTTTTGGAGCTTGTAAACCCCAGATCTAAATTCATTATCATTCTATTATTCATCTTCTCCACAATACTTGAGCTCAAATCTCTACATTTTATACATACTTGGATCCCTACAATCCATCAATGGTGCTTTCATTGAGAGATTAGAGCAAAATCAAGTGAGAAATCCTCCCAAAACATACAAAAAATTCATCCAAATCACAAAAAATCAACCAAAAATTGTTCTGAAAAATAAAAAAGGAATGAAGAAACTGGAATTTGGGGTCTGGGAGATTTCCCAGAGCTAAGCAGGAGACGTCCTCGCCGTTCCCGTTGCCGCCACCCGCCATGGCCGGAGAAACTCCCCACCAGTTCCCAGGTCTAAGCCAAAGTTGTCTCGCGCCACCCGCTGCAGCTCACTGCACTTGACACCCGCTGGCGTCGTATCTGGTCGTCTTCGAGGCCCGACGGTTGGAGCCTGAACCGGACTGGAGAATGGACCTTCGATATCCACCATTAATGGCCCCTAAGAGCTCCAGTAATAAACAGGTTGGAACTCCCCTGCTGACCCGAACTCGATGACCCAACTCGAAAGGTGTATCAGACGTCGCCGGAGCTGAAGAAGATTCGTCGGCGCTACCGGAACTCCAGTGAGCCTACTCCCGGTCAAATCGTGCTACCGTCGGGTCCACCTTGGTCTTAGCCTGGAGCTGAGGAATGCACCAGTCTCCGCCTGAGGAATACTCAGTAGCTGGACGATTTACAGTAGTGGCATGATTGAGCACTTGGTCTTAGCCAATGAAGGCTTCCCACTTGCCAAACTAAGAGGGGAAAGCTGTTGCAGCGGATTATAATGGGCTAGGTCAAAAAGATGGGTCGGTTGTCCAATAAGGAATAAAAGATCTACACAGGCCCATTACTTCAGCCCTATTCCAATAAGAGCTAAGTGCCTAATACTCCTATTTATACACTTAAAATATTTATTAAGGTATAGTAGTATTATTAATTATATTATTTCCACCACCATTATGGCGGGTTAAAAACCCCCGAGGTGGTGAAGACCTTTATGAGGGATTAAAATTTCCCGAGGTCGCTAATGAAAATTTATTATTGGCGTTATTATTTTTATCAATGCCATTAGACCGGGTCAAAAAAACCCAAAGTGGTGAACCCGAGCTCTAGTCTACCGAATATCTTTATTTGATGATTCAGATTATATTTAGGTCCATCGACCTACCCTAGTCACCTTTATTTGATGACTCGGGCATCTAAAAATGAGAGCCGCTACCGGCCGCACATGGAATTATGCCCGAGAGCGGTAGACGGTACACCTCGTTCTCCGAGACGCTAAGCACGTCGCCTAAAAGCCGTTGCCATGAACAACGCACCTATTGTATTCCGCTTATTTTTTGGAAATATAAATAGAAGATACCACATGTCGTATCAGCAGCCTTCGAGCGAAAGGCTCAGGTCTGCTCCACTTTGTATTTTGTATCAGCGAAGGGCTCAGGCCTACACTACTAGAAAACTGTCTTACAGTGACACTTCGTTAGTGACACTATTCGATTTAGTGTCAGAAACTGACGACATAACTGAAAGTTTACACATAAGTATCACTAATTTTTGACACAATAACATCACCACTTAATAGTGACACTCAAGGTGAAAAAACGGGGTCATATTCATAATTTATGAAAATATTTTTTTTAAGAAGGGTTTATTTTATAAATTTTAACCCTACTAACCCTTCACACTTCCCAGGAGCGCAGCTAACCCTCCTTCTCTCTTATTCGCATCGTTCTTAATCCCGACGCCTGAGCGGCAGCGATGCCGCCGGCAGAGGGTCACGAACCGGTTACACCAGACCTCACAGCCATCGTCTCTTCGAAGCCAGACCTCGCCGCCATCGTCTCTTCGAAGCCAGACCTCGCCGCCATCGTCTCTTCGAAGCCAGACCTCGCCGCCATCGTCTCTTCGAAGCCAGACCTCGCCGCCATCGTCTCTGCGAAGCCAAACCTCGCCGCCTTCATCTCTCTGATGCCAAGCCTCACCGCCTTCGTCTCTCTGAAGCCAAACCTCACCGCCTTCGCCTCTCTTACGCCATCGATCTTGATGAATTGATTCGTCTCAAAAATCCTGTGATTCAGTCTTCCTATACAGGTACGTTTCTCCACTCGCACTGGCCCAATCTTCTTAAAAGCGTTGAAAATCGCTATTAATCGACATATCGCAGGCATGCAGTCGAGTTGTGCCTGGGTTTTGTGAACCATCTCAAAAATTAAGTACTGTTTTTCTGTTGATATTTTGACTGAAAAAATTAAGCTAAGTACTGTATTTTCAGAACCTATTTTTAACCTGCTATGAGCCTTTTGCGAAATTTGGATTGATATTTATGAATGGCAGTACAACAATTCAGACATTTAAAAAGCATTTGAAGTCTATTTGTCATTATCCAAACACTATTTTGGTTGAAGGTGTTGACTCTTGTAGTACTAAGAAGAAATCAGTGATTGACAAAAAGGGAAAGAAACAAGTGTAAGGAAATAGCAAGGCCGAAACCTGGTGAGAAACTTGAGGTAATTTTCTATAACAATCGATCATTCGGAATTAGTATTAAGGTTAGAAGTTTACATTACACTTGCATGTATTAGTTTTATATGTTGATAAAATGTAACTTATTTCACACATCTTAGTTTATCAATATTGTCTTGGATGATCATTTTATATTGATTGCCCTTCTTTTTTATCTGAACTTAGTAAAACATAGCCACATCTAGACATGCCTAAACTGGAGCCATAAGCACATCTTATATCCAAGAGAGATATTGGTAATTTTGAAACATCAGAAAAAATTGCTTTATTTTCTATTTGGTTTGTGACATTCAGACAGGTGTTTGGTGACTTCATTCCAAGTAGAGAGATTCCTGAAATCAAGTTCAATACCATTGCCCTTCTTTAGTAAGTCTAAAATTTTGTTAGGAAGTTTAGTATTTTTTATTGAAATTTAATACATTGTGATTATGATTATTTGGGTAGAGAAAATAATTGTCTACATGTCACAGTAAACTAGTTTATAAATCTGCAGAAGCTTATTTATAAATCTGCAGAAGCTTGTTTTTTTTTTTTTATTATTTTGAGAGTGAAACTTGTTTTTTATTGAAGTTTAATACATTATGATTATCATATGTTGTACTTCTAATTAACTAATTGTAAAACTATTTTGAAGGAAACACATAATGCATATTGTTTGAGCTTTGAAAACTTCATGCAACATTCTTTGAAGAGTTCTTCCACTGGTGTGTTATTTTTCACGTGAAGAGATTCTGAAGGGTAATACCTATAAGGTTTTTTTGTTAAGGACCCAATAACAGCCCCCTCTAAGTGTAATATGATCTAAGTAATGTGTGATGCCTCTCACGTTTGTGCTATTCCAGAACCCCCCCCCCCCCCCCCAAAGATGTTTCCCGTGCAGCTTATCCCCCTCTTACTGATGATATTTGTTATGAAGCCTGTGATCACCCAGCTGAAATCTGAGGTTGCAACCCCTTTTGATCGAGAAGCAAACTATTGTGGTAGCTTCAAGGTCCGTAAACTATGAAGGCCCTTATAATAGTTCAAATGATACCCAAGTTGTAAATGTTCAATCTGCCAATCTTGTAGCCACAGTAGCCCCAACAAATTGTAACATGAATTGTGTAACTATTCTTGAGAAGGAAACGACAGATACCTCTTCTTTCTAATCCTGACACTTCAGATACTACACCGGCCCCAAAACTGTCCTGTGATGAAATCATTTCTGAGGATAGTCTATTTTTAACTCTTTCTGTTTCAGGTAATAAACTAATCCCACCTGCGAGAGTTTTTAATTTAAGAGGTTCAGTAGGTCCACAAAAACTCCCATTCTCACGTACATTTTTTTTGGTTATACTTGACAGTGGAGATGCCAAGTGTACTGCTTATGGCAGCTGTATGCAATGTCCAAATTGTATGATTTTAGTTATTATTATAACATATCCTAGCTTATTAGTAATTTAGTATTAACTTCTGGTTTTCTTATTCCAACTTTGTAATGCTTAAACAGTGACGTGTATTGGTTGCTTTTCAGGTAAGGCCAACAATTTATCAAGTGGTGAAGGACTGATTAAGAAAATGGGCTATCATTTTGTTATTCTGCCATTTTAAGGCATGATATGTTATTCATGCTTGTTTTACTTGCCTTTGAAGATAAAATACATATAAAATTTGACATTTTCTATGAACTGCATAGTATCCTATTGAAGATATAATTTTCAGGAAAAAGGTTATAGGTTTGGATGACTTGCTAAAGGACTACTACAGGGAGAACGTCACCATTGACGAGAAGGTTAACGAATGGCTGGAAGGACATAACATTTGGATGCTTGTGATGTACTTTATGTGTTTCAAGTACCTATGTAATGACTACTTTATGTTTGCAGCCCTATGTAGTTAGACTAGAATTCAAGAATATTGGTATTTTGGATTTTGCTTTGTTTCCAAGAACAAGTTAACTTGTCTTTGAATTTTCATGTTGACTTTGATTTGAATCTAAATGGCAATTAGTTAGTTTTGGGATACTTTGATTATGAATTTGTTTTATATTTGTCTACAAGCTTGAAAATTAAACTTTTAGGTGGATATGGTGGTGCAAAAAAAGTATTAAAATTGTTCAATAGTTGATACTATAGTATCATAAATCTGGATGGTGCAAGAGTATCATAGGTTTTTGTAACATTAGTGATATCACTAATTTATATGATATCAAAGTGTCATTAAGTATACCAATGCAAATGTATCACTATCTTTTATGATACTAACGTGTCACAATTTACTGATACTTTTTAGTGACACATTTTTTAGTGTTAGAGTTCCAACCATTCGTTGACACTTTTATGGTGTCACTAAAACTTTTAGTGACACTAATTTAGTGTCACTATAGACCATTTTTCTACTAGTGCTAGCTGAGAGAGCACGTCGTCCTGGCCCCGTAAGCCTAGAGTGAAACGCTCAGGTATGGCCGACGATGTCCCCAGGACGAG